ACTATATGAAATATTTCTGAAGCCAGCTAGACACAAGACGAAGAATCCAATAATAAAGTATTGTCAACACGAAATTTTATGGAAACAGGTAGAAACACTAAAGTTTAAAAGAATAAGGAGTACAGGAAGAACGTTTTCTTAGCAGCTTATTTATTTAAAAAACATACTGACATGATCTATACTGTCTTATGTATATATTAAAGCTGAAAAGTTTGTTTGTTTGTTTACTAAACACGCTAGTTTGGGAATCTAATGGTGCGAATTTAAAATTAATTATTATTGCGTCGGATAAAAACGTAGAAGGCTTATCACGCTGTGACCAATTGCAGCAAAGAAACAGTGGAAAAGAGGGAAAACGGGGAAAGCAAACAACAAAACAGCGTTTGCCGGATCAGCTAGCTATTACAAAGCAAACAACATTATCTAAACTCAATTATTTATTGAAAAAAAAAAAACGACTAAAGATAATAAAATAAATTGCGTTATTTATAAAATAAAATCTATTGTTATTAAGTAGATAACAGAAAACTTTCCGTAAATACGTGTAATATATAATTAGATAAGGAAAAGTAATCAAAATACTAACACAAATAATACAAAACGCGTAATCTATTATCTAACTTGTATACAATGTTAGCTACGGCTTGACGTTTCGGAAGTCGTGCAGCAGCCGTGGTCAGGGCGCCATCGTTTTAAACTGTTTATAGCAAAGCATTTAAAAAATACATAAATACAAAAGCTGCGAACAGACATAACATTTCACCTCAATACACACAAACGATCGCTACTTATATCACAATTAACAACATAACTAAATAATAAAAAACTGAGTTTAACAGGCGGAGTTATCAGCAGAATTAAATGGGAATAAACAATCTCTTGAACTCCTAACGAACATAGTAACAATTTAAAACAGAGCCGGGCACTTGATAAAAACTTCGGGCCGACTAATTAAGAAAACTTGTTACGGGGACAAAAAATTAAACTGTCGAAGTGGAAGGTTCAATTTATAAAAATTCCCTTTTATCATTGCTTTGTGAAATTTCAAATGACTTCAACTCAGAACTAATTAAATGTTTTTGATCGTCGGGTGATTAATTGGATCTGGGAAAAATTCTTGTGATCCGCTGCCGTATCTCATTGCTAGATACTTATATTGTAAGAGAATGAAATACAATTTATAAAATATAAAATCTATCAGAGCGACATAGTCACCTTTAGTAACAATGTATTGTTATAAATAACATAACTTAACATAACACTGCGTTTACTAAATCTATCGAAAAATAACAAATTTGGATAAACTATAAGTTATAATACGCAATTTATAATACAAAAATTACATAACAATTACATAATATGAAATGATAGTGAATAACGAGATTCCTATTTACTAAAAGCAATTTATATTACGTAGATACACTGCCAGACAGAGTTACTTTCGCATTTATAATATTATTAAAACCTATAATTTATGTTAATACAAATTTATAAATGATATGGATAACACGGTTTGATTTTGTTCGGCATTTCTTTCAATTTGTTAAAAGTAAAAAAGCAGTTATAGTGACGTAACTAAAATAGTTAGACATATGGTCACGCGGTGTCTTTTGGTACCTATAACCTTCCTCGATAGATGCTCTAACCAACACAAAAATAATTTTTCAATTTGAACCCGTAGTTCCTGAGATTAGCGCGTTTAAACAAACAAACTCTTCAGCTTTATATATTAGTATAGATACAAATTCCTACTATTCGTCGGAACAGCTTTCGAACATTAAGTGTGCATTGAATCGAATTCTCCTCGAACTAAATAAGGAATTTAAAACCTCCGAACAAACTCCGACTGCTATTGGGACCGCTGAGTAAGCGACTCGGTTCCCAAAAGATTCCGCGCTGCAAAATATAAGAGCATTTATTACTCCATGGGCGGATGACATTAAAAAGCGCTTAGTAGTGCGCCACGAAATATCGCCGACTATGCCAATTGCCACTGCCCACTTGCAGAGGGAAAATTATACGACATAGACAAATGCATTCCTCGCTTGCGTTCATAAATAAGTATTTTTGACCACTGATTAGCCTTACAGAGTATTTTGTTTTGGGATTTGATGCTTGGCTCAATAATAACACGATACAAAAAAAATTTTGGATGTACCCATTTTTATAGACATAAAATCAAACATAACAACAAACACAATAATATCAAGTAAAGGTTTTTCGGGAGATTATAATAATTTATTATACAAGGTGATTTTAAATTAATAAACCCCATATATATATATTCATAAAATTTGGTGGAAGTATCCAGTAGTTATCGTATGCTTAAAAAAGCCAAACAATGATGAAATAGATCAACTTATATACGATATCTTTTATGTTTGCAAAATAAGTTGCTTAGATTACACGTTTAAATACCTATGTTTGTACATTTTTTTTTTAAACAATGTTTTTGGTAGGTAATTAGGTATTAGCTAGATAAGAAGAGTATAATAGAGTGGCATTTTTAAAGAATAAACCAGGAATAAAAGGAAAGAGAGTAGTTTAAGAGGACTGTGTGTTTATTATGAAACAAATAGACACCATAATAATATTTAGGCTTTAATTATCTTCAAAAGTTAGTAATATATTACATAATATGAATGCATAGGTAATTCTACCAATGAATAAATTGAAAAACGTAAAATGTCAAAGTGATATTAAAACTTTTAATTGGTTGATATAATCAGACAGCTGAGCTGCAAGTTTATCCTCTCAATCTTTAACCAGTGCCGCTGAAACAAAATAAAAACGTAATTAAATTTGAAGGATCTCTGCGTGAGCGAGTATCAACGTGCTTTCGCGATAAATCTAATTACGTCTTCATTTCGCTGGCTGATTCAGATAAAATTACGAAAAACATATTTTTCACTTTTAAGAAATTAATGTTATTATATATTTATAGAAACGGGGACAAACAGAGATAAAGTAACCACTGTTGGTGGAAAAACAATTAAATTACAAGTAAATAGTTGATGTTATGATAAACAACCACGAAAACTACTTTAAACAAAATCAATTCAACTATCCAATCTATAATTACTTACCAAAAATATTTAATATTTACGGTTATCATTTACAATAAAAACTATAAATATCCTTTTTTTGTATTTGTTTTTAAGCTTAGTCATGATTTGTATAGTTCTTTTAAATTCATTAACCGATAAAATTTATAAATAGACAATGTTTATATACACTTTACACAAATAAATAATTAATGTCATTCTGCGCAAGCGTTCACGCCTCTCGGTAGTGAAATGTGATCTCGGAAAGCAAGAATCGTACGTCATAGGGCGCGGCTCTGACGCGGGTCGAAGATAACATAATAGTTCAATGTCTTTATAATATTTTAATTCAATCGTTCACAAGTCAATGCAATAAAAACATCTTGTTACTTTGAGTTAAACTAAAATTACCTATCTATTAGGCAGCGTTCATACAACCATAAGGAGTTTTGTATTCAATTTTGTTATGCAACATAAATACGTAAAATTTAAAAATCTGTTTTAATGTAAGCCTACATATTAAAAAATAATTTTTTTTATTTACGTCCTTTTTTTGTTGTTCTGAACCCTTAACGCAATGCTAGCCATTTTGTCACTAAATGAACCAAAAAAGTCTTAATAACTAAGGTATACAAATAGTCTGTGTTTATAACATACTGCGAAAGTACACAATCATTTTAAGAATTAATATATACACTACTAGCATAGTGAAAATACTTTTAATTTATATAATATTAAATTTATAAACGAAAGAAATAATTTGAAAAAAAAGTATAACGACGAAGCGGCAACAGTCAATGTCATTTCTTAATGTCACTGGTCACACCGATGGTTAAAATCTAACGTTAAATGCAAATGCATAAGCCATAAAAACAAAACGGAATCTTGCTTAGAAACTTGTTATGAGTGAAAGTGTGTTTTTTACAGAAAAAATCGATTATAGTGTATGAATATATACTGATAGTTACACTTGTTTCATCATTCAAGAGGCACAATAAAGGTAAGTAATAAAATAAATAAACGTGTGCAAGACTTTATAGGTTATCTTGGATCAATTTCTTATCTTCAATTACAATTTTATGATGTAAATTATTGGTGGTGGGTCTAAACATAATCTTGATGGGAAATCGATATGATTCATAAAACTTATGTTTTCAAATCATTCTCTCGCTTTTACAAGGGCACTATTGTTATAAGTTAATATTATTAAAAGTTTTTGTAACTATTTATAAAAGAAAAAATAAGATGGTCACTGTACTAGCCCGAAGCCAGTTTGTTAGTAGAAATTAGAGGCATGTTTAAAAAACAACATGAGACTTGTTTAGTAATTCTTTTATTTCCATGAACAAGAACAGTTAATTCCTCAGGTACAACTTAACATTTAGTCATTTCAGTTTTAAGTTTTCAATAGCCAGTTAAGTAAGTAAGTAAGTTTTATCTTAACTAATAAATTTTAACAATCTAGGAAAATAAAGATTACTATGAAATATTATTGATTGTTTGGAAGTATAGATTTAGAGTTCTTATAATTATAAACTGACTTGACAGAACAATATACTATAAAAAATATCAAATCATAATATGACGGTCCATATGTTTTTATAGTTATTTTATGTTTTGATAAACTTTAATTACACTTGCCATGTGTCATTCTGCGGTCTATTAAATGCTCCAAATAAACCAGTTTTTTGTGGATATTTTATCAAGTGCACAGCAGTTCACCTTCACCATATGGTATCAAAATTGATAGACATTCCAACTTTGAACCTTTTCCATTATTATCCAGTAAGTTAGATTTTTACTGTTTTATTCAGACAATACTGGTTCCGGTTTTGGTCTTTTTTGGTTGTAATAATCATTTATCATACAAATGACCTAATGACCCATGTACGTCAACAGTAGGCGATGAGGTTAACAATATGCTTACGCATAGTCAGTACAAGTTTGAAAGCCAAGATGAGAAGTCACACATATGTTGATTCATTGGGCATGCCCAGGTAAAATATGAATTATTAACGTTGATTGTGTGCTTCTCCTTTGTTAACCTGTAGTTTTAGGGTGTATAGAGCTGCATGTTCTACACATGTTTGATTTTGGTTTAAATTTTTAACTCTTCAAAATTACTTTTTCTCGACTAGTGTAGTGTGTAAGAGTGTTTTATAATTGTTTCTGCTTTACTGCTAATAGACTTTTTACTTGTACATGTGTTTCTTCCTGTTAAAGCAGAACAGCTGTGATGAATATCAAAAATAACTTTTGTTTCAGAATAATGGCCCGTATCCTGGACGGTAAAGGCCTTGCAAAAGAGATTAAAGAGGAACTACAGGTTCAAATTGAAAATTGGGTGAAACAAGGTAACAGAGCACCTTCATTGCGCTGCATCATTGTTGGTGAAGATCCAGCCAGTCATACATATGTACGTAACAAAATCCAAGCTGCTATAGATGTTGGTATTACAGCAGAGACTATAAAATACAATGATAGATTATCTCAAGAAGAACTACTGGCAAAAATTCAATCTTTAAATATAGACCAAGAAGTAGATGGCATTCTGGTACAATTACCACTACCTGCAACTATGGATGAGAGAAAAATCTGCAATGCAGTAGCTCCTGAAAAGGATGTAGATGGCTTTCACATTATAAATGTCGGTCAATTGTGCTTGGACATGCCCACCATGGTGCCTGCAACTGCTCTAGCAGTAATCGAGATGTTAAAGAGGTCAGTATATAAGAAAATTATTTCTTGAGCTTGTTTAAAGATTATCTGAAAAAAAAAAGTATTAGGTCTTTTTATTATAATAATGAATTGATTTTTTTAACTAGAAAGGTTATCATATTATTTATAACCACAAAAGTAAAAAAAATAATTAATAACAAATTTGACTTCCTTAATGCAGTGTTATAGATTTCACTAATCTAATTGAAATATTTACATTGTCATAGAGTAAGAATTGAGTCAGATATGTTAAAGATTTTTTTTTTAGATTCAAAATTGAGACATTCGGCCGTAATACAGTTGTCGTCGGTAGATCTAAGAATGTTGGTATGCCAATAGCTATGATGTTACATAGCGACAGAAACCATGACAGTGGTCTCGGAATGGATGCGACTGTTACTATCTGCCATCGGTACACACCTCGCGAACAATTGGAAGCATTCTGCACCAATGCTGACATTATTATCACCGCTACTGGTAATTTTATTTGCAAATTTTTACAAAATCTCTTAAAATCAAGTCAAAGCAATTTTTTTAAATTTGCATCTTCTAGGTGTGCCAAAACTCATCAAAGCCAACATGATTAAACCCGGTGCTACAGTTATAGACGTCGGAATTACGAGAATAACGGACGAGCAAGGAAAAACTAAACTCGTGGGCGATGTTGATTATGATGGTAAGTTTTTATGTGGCTTAATTTTTTCGATATCTAATCTGTATGCATATTCACCAATAACAAAGTTACTTTAGACATCTTACAATTTAACTTGATATCTTTAGCCTCTATTAATGGTTTAATTTTTGTAGAGAAAAATGTTCTTTATTTTTCTTTCAATTATTATATATGTTCTAATCACCTATGTTTACTTCTACTTTGTGTTAAGTTTGTTTCCGTGGTTCTCCATTCTATAGACCTAACCACATACTTCGTCCTCACAGAGGTAATTAAAATTGCCGGAGCTGTTACACCTGTTCCCGGTGGTGTTGGTCCAATGACAGTCGCCATGTTGATGCACAATACTTATCAAGCCGCACAGAGGATCCAGAAAGCTAAAATGCAAAACTGATATTTTTCCTCTTAGAGGCTTGCGAGCTCTTTGGCATAAAGTGCTGAAGTTGTTGAGTTATTACGTCTGCGTATTTATATACATAATAGTGTGTAATCATATATAGTATATAGTTTAAACAATGGAATCTCCATTAATATTTTTAATAGACGTCTTCGTAATGAGTTATTTGATAGTGTTGTTGAATTTGTCGAACCATTTCCATACAAATCCAAGTTATATCTTAGTTACTAACCCGGAAGGCTGATAATAATGATATTAATCATACACAAAATATTACTAGAATTCCGTATATATGTTTGCTTATCTAACCAATCTATTTTTGGTTGCTGGTGGCTGTGGTTTTCAATGTATTTTTAATTTTTCATTGCTTCGATAATTTCGATAACTGTTCTAAATACCGAAAGTGCCTTTAATCTTAGTTGTAAGTCTCAAGAGTATTATTATTTTATTTGTTAATTATACGGTGCAGGTATTTTTTAATCACAATTTTCATTATTTGTTAATTAAGTGTTTTTCGAATATTTGTCCTGTTCTATATGAATTAAGTATTGTTATTTTTGCGTATGTAAACGTGACTTTGAAGACATTTTCCTACATTCCAATTTGTTTGTAATTTGTTGTTTCTTTTGTCGTAAAGGGAAAGTAAGGAGACATATTATATAACATATAACGCAGTAATATTATTTTTATACAAAAAATATGAAGCGTTTGTGTATCCTTAACATAATTAAAAGTTTTAATGTCTGATCTGTTACATGATTCGCATTATGAGGACATATGTTATATGTAATCGATGACTTAATATAATGTTTTCACCTGTATGTTTGATTTTTATTTACGTTAAACACATAAATTTAACAGAAAAAAAATAACAGTTTTTTAAACAAAAGTTTCGGCAACTACGATGATTGTTTTTTTTTTAATTTCTAGATACTAATATTACTTTCTCATTAGTCGAAAACGGACCTTTTTTTTTTTATTATTTTCTTTCGGGGACACCTGTGGTAGGACGGGTGATCAGTCCACACTATCAGCTGACCATTTCACCCATTTCCACCTTGTGGAGGTTTTGGGTCATCCAACTCTCCCCGTGTCCCCTTCAAACCTTCCGGTTTGCTTGCAGAATCTTATAATTTTTTCCATCTGTAATTCTTTGATCTCATCTTCTGTAACTTCGTCCGAACCCATATGTGTTTGTCTCAGCCTCGAGTATGCAGAGCATTCAGTGAGTAGATGGATGCTTGTTTCCTCACTTTCTCTGCACTCCGGACATAGGGGGTCGCTGCCTATTCCTATCATTGTAAGATGTCTGTTTAGACGGCAATGTCCTGTAATGATCTCTACAATGAGTCGGATGTTCGCTCTCGTTAATCTCATCAGGTTTTTGGTCTTCTTTTTGTCTAGGCTATGTATGAATATCTTCGACTGTCTCATTCCAGTCGAAGATTTCCATCTTTGGTTTGTTTCTTCTATGATTCTGCGCTCGATTATTCCCTTGGTTACTTTATGGGCTATCGGAAGTCTCGGTTCCGGCCCAATCAAGCTTTCATCGGCTCCTTCGCGAGCGAGTTCGTCCGCTCTCTCATTGCCAATATTTCCTTGGTGTCCGGGGACCCAGGCAATTGCCACTTCTACCTGATCAGTTAGTTTGTGCAGTGCTTTCTTGCATTCTTTGACAATAGCAGATGTTGTCTCTTCTTTGCATAGCGCTTTAAGTGCCGCCTGACTGTCACTGTAAATAGTAACACTTGACAGGGGTCTTAAGTGCCTGGCAATCTCTGCACATTCCATGATGGCGAATAACTCCGCCTGGAATACGCTAACAAGTTTCCCCAGAGGGATTGATCTTGTTATCTCTGTTCCGTCCTCGCATCTCATATATATGCCTGACCCAGAGAGCTTTGTCGTTTCTTTCCTGGAACCGTCTGTGTAGCACACCGTGCCCACATTTTCCGAGTCTATACTCCACTTCTGCCTTTCCCCAATGTGGATTCTGTATCTCTTGTCAAAAATCCTTTCCTTACGTATGAGATCATTGTTTGCAAGGATCATTGACATGTTCTTGTCATTTACTTTACCTATGCTAGCATGACCTGTGTCCATGATATTTCCTTTCCATAGGTCTGCGCTTTTTAACCTGAACCACGTTTCCGTAGCTTTCCTTTTTATTTCTAGATCTAGTGGCATTAGTCCAAGGATGATCTCAAGCGCCGCTGTTGGAGTCGTCCTCATTGCACCCGTGATCATCAATGCGGCCAATCGCTGCACTTTGTCTAGTTCTATTTTATTGGACTTTAGCGAGGCCTTATGCCACCATACTATTGCGCCATGGGTGATTCTGGGTAATATTATCGCCCTGTATATCCAGGCGACGACATTTGGCTTCAATCCCCATGTTCGACCTATAGCACTTTTGCATTGTAACATTGCGGCCTTTGCCTTTGCGCAACTGCTTCTGATATGAGTGCTAAAACTGAGTTTGCTATCCAGTGTTACACCAAGATACTTTATCTCTTTTACTAGTTCTAGTTCTGAGTTATCTATGCGAACTGGTTCTCTATTTCCTAGCTTCCTTTTGTTCGTAAAAAGTACTAATTTGGTTTTATCAGGATTAAGGTTCAGCCCCTTACTCCTGCACCATTTAACTATTTCCCTTAGTCCTTTATTCATGATCGTGCATATGGTGCCTAGGACCTTCCCTGTCACCATTATCGCTCCGTCATCTGAATAGACTTGTGTATAGATGTGCATCGAGTTGATGCGATTGACTAGCTCGTCTATAAGGAGACACCACAATAGTGGAGATAAACATCCACCCTGTGGAAATCCCCTCCTAGCCTTCACTGTGTACTTAACTCCTGCAATGTCTGATTGTATCAGCCGGTGCTTGAGCATGTTTCTTATCCATTTGCCAATGTCCGTACCTATTCCTTCTCTGCTCAAGGTTGCCTCGATTGCGTCCGGGTTTGCTCTGTCGAAAGCACCCTCAACGTCAAAGAAGCAGCCTAATGCATATTCTTTCCCTTCTATGGCTCTTTGTGCTCTTACTACAATATTGTGCAGAGCCGTCTCCGTTGACTTCCCTTCCATATATGCATGTTGATTATTATGTAGGGGAAATCTGCTCTTATCTAGTTTTGTTCTTATCGTTCTATCTATTATCTTTTCTAAGGCTTTCAGAATGAAGGACGACAGACTGATACACCTGAATGCCTTAGCGTCTTGATACGATCCCTTCCCTGGTTTTGGTAAGAATGCAGCCCTAACTTCTCTCCACTTGCTTGGAATATAGCTTAGAAGTAGGCTGCTGTTGAACAATACCAGAAGGTCCTTGTTAATTATTTTATATGCTTCTTGAAGCATCTTTGGAAATATTCCATCTGGTCCCGGAGCCTTGTATGGCTGGAAAGACCTGATGCTCCACTCTAGTTTTTCCTCTGTGATGATAGTCTCCTGTGCCTGATTACTACTTTCGCTATCATCTTCAGGGCTATCATCTCCTATGTGTTCTTCGCAATCCGGGAAATGCACTTTCATCATTTCCATGAGGATTTCTTTGGGATCAGTTATTAGCATCCCGTCTTTCTTTATGCTTTCAAGCTTACACGATTTTACTGCGGACAGGGTTTTCACTATTCGTGCTGCGTCCGGATATTTCTCAATCCCTTCACAGAACGCCCTCCATCCGCTCGTGTTTTCTTTCCTACATTGACTTTTGAATAGATTTCTCTGTTCTCTATATTTCATCCAGCTCTCCTCATCTCCTTTCTGTAGAGCAGTCCGAAGAGCTCGGCGTGTTCTTTTCCTGGATTTTCCCAGTGCTTTTGTCCACCATGTTTGTCCTTTCCCAGACTTTATTTCTCTTATCGGGCAAGCTTTGTGGAGTGCCTCTCTTAGAGTTAAATCAAGTCTTGTTGCTTCTGTCTCTAAGGCTGACTTACTAGTGAGTATGTCTGTCGGAATTGGGCTCCACTTCTTCTGCATGTAGTCATTAAAGGTTGCCCAGTTCGTCTTTCTTGCATTTCTCACCATGACTTTGTCAACCTTGCTTTCCAGGTCGAAGGTAATGCGTCTATGGTCTGAGAATGCGTCACTTTCGTCAACCCTCCAGTTCTGAATGTGTCGGATAATTTTGTCTGTTGCGACTGTTATATCCAAAACTTCCGCTCTGGTTCGAGTAACAAACGTTGGTGTTATGCCTTCGTTTATCACTCCAAGGCCTGCACTACCTAGAAAATCTAGTAATAAGTCACCCTTTTTATTGCAGTCAGTGCTGCCCCATGCTATGTGGTGGGCATTGGCATCACATCCTATAATAATCGGAATGTTCTTACCTTGATATTTCCTTGTTACTTCCTCAAGCTCCCTTGTTGGCGGCTCGAAGTCTATTTCACTCGGAAGATAGGCACAGACTATGAGTATTCTCTCCTTATCTCCGTTGCAGGCTTGAATGGTCAGTTCTACACTCGCTAAGTCTCTGTAACAGTCAGACTTTATGAGTTCTAGCGATCTCACCCTGTTGCTCACGTAGATGCACGCTCTGGGATTAGACTCACCATCATAGTAGATTAGATCACCTCCCAGAGCGCCCATCCCGACCACTCGCCTGTTTATGACGTATGGCTCTTGCAACAGGGCGATATCTATATTTTCTTTCCCAATGAATCGACATAATTCCGTCATGGCTTCACGACAGTGATGCAGATTTAGTTGGACTATTTTTATTTTGTTTTGTTTTTGTTGTGTGTTCATTGTATTGATTGTGTTTATGTTAAGTGTACAATGAATGAGTGTTTGGAATGTAGTGTGTTCTTGCTTAGTATGTGTATGTGTATGTTTCCTCACTTCCCCTTGCCGCTATTCAGCCAAGACGGACTTAACTTTTCCGCCGTCTGGGAACCGCTACTGGGTTTGTGAGGAGGGTGTGTGTCGTGATGTGGTGTGTTGGTTGTTGGTGTTTTGGTGGTTGTGGTGCAGGGTACCCATCTGTCGGCCGA